TCAAGTCCGATTTTTAAGTTACAGTAACATGGAAGTCTCAGTCTTTTGTGTTCAATGTTGCTACCTTGACGTGGTGGTCGAGCATGCCTATCGTGATGAAGCAACCGAGCTATACTGTCTGGAACAACCGTTCCTCAAGGTCTTACCATGCCAGACAGGTCGGTCGAAGAGCGGTAAGACTAAAAGCAACAAACCTTAAGTCCGAGGGCGAAGTCTTACTGCTGACTGTACAGAGGTGTGACAGCAGTAAGGTGTTCCCTTCAGACAACCAGCATGACAGCGATGCTGCCTTCCCACTAGGAGTGGTGGGGTTAGAAAAGGTCGACCCTAAAAATGCACACCTCACCTTATCCCACGGATACCCTTCTCCGGCGGTAAGGTCTCAACGAGTACGGAGCTAACACGAAAACTACTCACAATAAGGGTCGTGTGTGACTAACCTCAAGCAGTTGTCCCTTGGGTACTGAGGTCACGCTCTCGGGTCACTAAGACCACCTCTAATCCAATCTTGTTTTCAGGTACCTGCAGAAGAACCTTTCCATGGTGTGGGCAACCGGGAGGTGATAACCACCCTCATACTTCAAACAGCACTCAAGACCATTGTATTTCTTATCAACCTCCCTCTTCAATTCCTATTATTCCTCCTACATCGACTTTCAACTTTAAACTTCCTCTTTTGACGTCCTTCTCAAGTGTCACCATAGTCAACGATTCTAGTGCGCAAAACACTGTCCCAGGTCTACTGAAACCTCGCTCCAAACTACACATTGGAGCCTTCAAATCGGTCAGCAGACTTCCTTGTCTAGAACCCTAGAATCTCGTACCATTGATGTATGCTGTGTCTCCGAAACACGCATACAGGATTCCAGTGTGGTCATTAACTTGACCTCACCTCGGCAAAACGGAGAGCCAACGAGATACACCCTACGTGTATCTGGTGACCCGACGGCCAGCTCTCGTGGACTGGCAGGAGTAGGCATAGCACTAAGCATGAGGGCGGAACAAGCACTGTTAGAGTGGATCCCCGTTAACATTCGTTTATGTACCGTTCGGCTAAACGGCTCCGTAAAAACTCGGAAGGATAGGGACACACGTCGTTGCCTTTTTGTCGTTTCTGCCTACGCTCCCACCGACTGCAGCTCGGATGAAGTGAAAGATGAATTTTACAGAAAGCTATCTGAACATCTTCAGAAAGCTAAACGTTCAGACATAGTACTCGTAGCAGGTGACTTTAATGCCCAGGTAGGTAGTTTAAACCAAACAGAAAGGCATATGGGTGGGTATTTCAGTATTCCGGCACAACGAACAGATAATGATGATCGTCTGCTGCAACTGTGCTCAGACACTCGCTTATTTTTAGCAAACACAAATTTTAAGCATAAGGAGAGACATCGTCTAACGTGGCGACCGCCTGCACCAAACCAACGATGGACTCAAATAGACCATATTGCCATCAGTCATCGTTGGAGAGGGTCGGTAGAAGATTGTCGCTCATTCTGGAGTACCTGCTTGGACTCCGACCACGCCCTAATACGGGCACGCATCTGCTTGCGCCTGACTGGACGCAAAAAAGCTACAGTAAAAAGACCCATTAGAACCGAACTGAGTAGCGAGGAAACCAAAAGTAGGTTCCAGGAACAACTGAGGTCACGATTAGGTAGTTCTGAAGACGAGGCTGACCCAGATGTTGCTTGGAAAGCTATACAAACTGCAGTGACAACTATCAATGATTTAAGCCACAGGGTTACAAAGAACCAGTGGATTTCTTCAAGGTCTATTGCACTGATGGATCCTCGTAAACTCATCCCATCAGGTTCTGAACACGATGAAGAGCATAAACAAATCAGATCTAGGTTAAGAAAAGGTGATGGGCAACGAAAGCAAGAGATGGAAAAGGCGGCGGCTATAGGGAACACAAGACAGCTTTACAGACTAATAAAAGAAACTGGAATTAATGAGTCAAGTGTAAGTGAGATTATATCGGGAAAAGACGATACACTCATCTGCTCCCAGTCCAGGCGTTTAGAACGATGGGCGGAACATTTCAGAGAACAGTTCAACTGGCCTTCAGCTATTCTACAACTACCCTCCATTCCCAGACAGTGTGAATGGAACATTGAAGTAGGTCCCCCAACTCTTGCTGAAGTTCAAGAGGCTATAGCTAATCTGAAACGAGGAAGAGTAGTTGGTCCAGATGGATTGGCTTCAGAGGTCTTTAAGGATGGTGGTCCAAGTTTAACGATTAGGTTGAGTAATATTTTAGCTGAAATCTGGGAGTTAGACGTTATTCCATCTGACTGGTCACAATCACTTATCGTCAAAATATATAAGAGAGGGTTAAAATCATCCTGTGACAACCACAGAGGGATTAGTTTAACTAATATAGTATCTAAAATGCTAGCCTCGATAATTATCGGACGCCTAACTAAGACTCGTGAACTGCAAACACGAGAGAATCAACCTGGCTTCAGACATGGTCGTGGCTGCATCGACCACATATTCACCATTCGTCAGGTTCTAGAACATAGGAATACTTAGCGGCGTCCGACAATGGTGGTCTTTGTGACATAAAAACAGCATTTGACTCGGTAGACCGCGAAAATCTGTGGCAGTGTCTGTCATTGAAAGGCGTACCTCAGAAGTACATAAACCTTGTGAAGGCTCTTTACTCGAACACTACTAGTCGAGTGAAAGCTTATGGAGAACTGTCATCTGGTTTTGCAACCTCAAGTGCTGTCCATCAAGGTCATCTACTTTCTCCATTTTTGTTTAACTTCATTGTAGACCTACTGATGGAAATAACATTCTCGTTGACTGAATTCTCGGGTATTGACCTCCTACCAGGAGGTCCACTTATCGACTTACAATACGCAGATGACATAGTCCTGTTTGGTGAAGACGCTGATAAAATGCAGTCTTTTGGTAGCACTAAACAGTAATGCCAGAAAGTTTGGAATGCGTTTCTTCTCCTCTAAATGCAAGTTATTGCTCTAGGACTGGTCTGCGTCAACACCTGAACTAAGGATAGGAAGTGAAGTAGTCGAACGCCTCGACAACGTCACTTACCTTGGAAGTCTGATCAGCCCAAACGGGTTGGTGTTTGACGAAATCTCAGCACGGATTCGAAAAGTTCGTTTGGCTTTTGCCAACTTATGTCACCTATGGAGAATGCAAGATATTCGTCTATCAATGAAGGGGTGAGGATACTGCGCGGCAGTTCGTTCTGATCTATTTTACGGCTGTGAAACGTCGCCATTAATAGTAGAAGATACACGTAAGCTACTAGTATTCGACCACAGGCGCCTTAGAAATATTGCTGGCGTCTGCTGGGATCACCGGGTAAGTAATAGTGAGGTTACACGTAGGGTATTAGGGAATGATGGTAAATCAGTTGATGAGGTTGTGAATCTTCATCGACTGAGATGGTCGGGCCACGTGTTACGTATACCTGAATACCGATTACCACGACGTGCAATGCTAACCGGTGTTCGGGATGGCTGGAAGAAAGTTAGGGGCAGCCAAACCAAAACGTGGCATCAGTGCTTAAAGTCACTAACTTCTAGTCTGAGCCATGTTGGTAGATGCAGACTAATTGGTTGGGGTCCGCGTGATTTGAGACTGTGTGTGACATGGCTCAGAATTGATCACAATGGCCTCTGTGTATACATTCTCTGTCTTCCCTTAAACTAAGAGATTAAAATCGCTTCATATCTTTCTTTCTACGAACTGATTCTTTCCTTCTATACTATATCCTTACATAAATCTTTCTTTTATATATTACCACCACTGAATTAACTACTTTCATGAATCCAGTGTTCATCTTGTTGAGTTAATGAGGTATGGCAACTTGGACCGATGCATATATGTGCCTGGCTCTACGTTGTAGCTGACTGACTGAGGGGTTCACTGCCAGGGAATTCTTACTCACTATCTTCGCGCGGCATCACTATTGTTTACGACATTGAGGGGATGAAAAGTGAATGTCCAACATTTTAACCGGTTTGATGGATATGAAAGGTCCACATAGGGGAGTTGAAAAACCCTTATACCAAACCAATGGTACACATGAGCTCCAGTATCCTAAGGAAACAAATGGCATATGAACCTATTGCTGGTCACCTGCTACTATGGGACTACATCTCCTTACGTCGCTCCTCTGCCATGTGGATCAGACTTTTAGGTCGAAGGCTCCAGGTATGGTCCCCTAAGAAAATCACCTGTTTCAGTTTGACCACACGGGCAGTATCCCAACCCTTACACAAATCGAATGATTTATGTGGCGCATATTTATTTGATACCTTCTTGTACCAATGTTTATGTTTTCAAGTAAATAAATAAATAAATAAATAGGATACTATGGCGAAAACACTTATCCAATTTACCCTGATTTGAAACGATTTCTAATCTCACATTATTTATTTATTTATTTTAACACATAAATATTGATAGAAGGAGGCACCAAATACATATGCGCCACATAAATCATTCGATTTGTGTGAGGGCTGTAATGCTGTCTGAGTGCCCAAACCGAAGCAGGTGATTTTCTTAGGAGGCCACACGCGGAGCCTTCGACCTGAAGGCCTGATCCACAAGGCAGTGGAGCAAGGTAAAGAGATGCAGTCCCATAGTAGCCGGTGACCAACGATTGGTTCATACACCATTTGTTCATTCAGGATACTGGAGCCCATGTGCACCATCGGTTTGGAATTATGGTTATTTTCCAACTCCCCCTAGGTGAACTCTCCATGTCCACCAACCCGGTTAAAGCGCCGGACGTTCGCTTTTCAACCTCTCAATTTCATAAACAACACCCCCGCCACGAGAAGGCAGTGAGTAGAACTTCCCTGGCAGAGGCTATATACGTGTGGTCATGTGAGACCATTTCGAGAGGGAGTGCTAACTCTCCCCACTATCCGCCGTACCATGGCATTTGAGAGCAATTAATCTACTAAATAAACTACCAATAAATAAGTTAAACGATCTTCATCAAAACTACCTCATACTAAAAATCACTTTTTTTTTCTAAACAGTACAACTTGATGCAAAAGTAAATTATATCATAAGGACTTTGTCAAGTTTTTCATGTTTGTTTGTTTGTTTGTTTGTTTATAAAAAAGAAAAAGTAAATATATAAATTAAAAAGAATTACTTCATGTGCAATTTTATGAGTAGTCGATTGAGCAATATCGATTGATATGTGTAGGTATAATAAATATATCCATAGAAAACCAGTGAAATAATATCAAACAAAACAAAAAAACAAAAAAAGAGCCCATATCCATAATCAGAAAAGGTAACCAGACATAATATACTACTTAGTAACCGGAAAAATATATATATATCCAAGAGAAAATTAAAATAAACAAATGAATTACAGTTCATCAATTGAATCATTCATGTAAAATAGTTTATATATGTATGAGCTTAATTGTATGTTTGAATGTTTCTGTGTGTGTGTGTCTGTGTTTGTTTGTTTGTTTGTTTGTTTCTATCAAGATGTAAGGAACAGAGATAAAAAAAAAGGCAAGAGAGGGGAGTAGCGAGAGAGAGGGAGAGAGAAAGAGGGAGGGAAAAAACCCTTTTTTTTAAACTTTGGAATTTATTGTTGTTTTCTTCATGAAAATAAAAAAATTATTTATAGAATGTTGTTTAATTCTATAATGGAAATGAAAGAAGAAAGAGTTATAATGTCAAAGATGATCACAAATAAATTATCTACATGTATATGTATGTATCTAGGATGATATGTTAAGCTCTTACATAATACTTTATATTTACTTTTCTCTATAGAGAATTGTCAAGAAGAAGAAGAAGAAGAAGAAGAAGAAGAAGAAGAAGAAGAATGAATAACACGGCTTAGATGCAATCAACATGTAGATAATGCACAAAATTCATTTAGTCTCAATAAACCCATCGTATTGAAGGGTACTCAATGGGTCCGCCTTAAGTATAACACAAAATGTTTGCTAGAAAAAGAAAAAGCAACAAAACAGTACTAATAGATATCAATAGGAGATAGGTCTTTCAACAACAACAACAACAAAAAAAAGGTTCATTACCTTGTGCTAAATTGATATGAGATTTCAACCATATATAAATGTGTATATGTATGAAATAAATAGGAATGTATAAACTAGAACAAATAATAAACTGAATACCATTTATATTGTAATTAATCCAACATTCATATCATCATCACTTTCAATTTCTTCATTAATTTGAATTGTTGAATCACCATTAAATCCACTTGTTCTAGTTAATGGATTATGATTATTTGAGGATACAACATTTGTTGTTAATGGATGAGATGATGATGATGATGACAATAATTGAGATGGAATATATTGTGATTGAGATTGAGGATAATTTGTTGTTGTTGTTGATGATAATAATAGTGGTGAACTACGTCCAGTTATTGGAATATTTTTTCGTGGACCATATAAAAGATCAGAACTTTGTGAAAATCGTGAACGTGAAATTTCTCTTGGAACTAAACACATACTTTGATCAGCTGGTCGAATAGTAATAATTAAATTTGAACTATTAGCAACCATCATATCATTGACTTGATCTAATGATTTACCGTAAACTTCTATACCATTCACTTCAATTATTTCATCATTCACAGCTAATAAACCAGTATTATAAGCAATCCCATCTTCGGCTAGACGAGATATAAAAAAGGCTGGAATAGTTTCATAACCATTTTTAGTATAATATTGAATAGCACCAGTACGAATATTTAAACCGAATTGTTTACCAGGTGAACGGATCAGGCTTACACTAAATAAAGAATTACAAAAATTAGATGGATATATACATATATATGGACAGAGAATAAAGATCTAGGTAAATCTGTAAACAGTGAAGCGATGCCTTAGTAATTAAGGCACTTAGCATTCAAACAGATCAGAAATTCGAACTTTCTACAACTCATTTATTACGTACAGATTCATTTACTTCACCACAAACCACACTCTAAGTATATGGGCTAGTGAGTGATACTACCTGGTTGCCAAACAGAAGTAGCCGGAGCGGGGTTTGGACTTGTAACTTAGTTGCTGAAAATCGAACTTCCTAACCACTGACTCCTCGTAGATTTGAACACCGCTCCATCTATTTTTTAGTTGTGGAAGCCGAACAGTATCACTAGTCCTCATAACATTAACAGCGTGTTGCTCAAACTCGAAGATACATAAACTAATACTCAACAAATATGTTAAACCATGTGTTGGGTAAAAAGATTGTAGTTGGTATACTTCAGATAAGTGCAACAAGAACAGTTCAAAAAACATCAAAACCACCAAGAAAAGTTATACGAATACTAGTAAAATAAGTTGGTATGAGGTTTTAGACAAAAAATTTCAAAATAGCTGAACCCTAAGTGTACAGAAAATATCAAGAATGAAGTTATATTTGGACTTAAATAAATCTAATGTTTTGCTCGTCAGCATGGTTTGAGTTTCACTTAGGATTTCACAATACATTTCTTTTTTAACATAGAGGGATGCAAATAAACGAGCAAAATACTAGCAAACACAGTATGAAAGGTATAATGACAAAAATTCTCTAGATTTACAAGGTAACAAGGAGTACATCCACGCAACTTTATTCAACTTTAGACCCTGTCAACTGATATAACTTAGAAAAGTAGTTAATTTTTAAATTTTAACCAAAAAGCCTGCGATTGATTTATTGTATTCCTCAGACTAAGATCTGTTGACTTTATAGATTAGGTATGTCTGAAATCTTGAGAAAACTGATGTTAATGAGTGCCAGCTAACACGAGAACTACGCCAAGGAAGGATTCCTTCCAGGTTAATTACACTAATAGCCCCACTAAAACTTGGTAGCTAGACTTCGATCAGCGCATGTAACGATCTTAACCGGAACAGAAGTGGGCTGAAAGAAATCTAGTAAAGACCAAGTGAAGACATAGCATCAGTCAATGAAGACACGGACTACTACATTGAATACATATGCGCCACACAAGTCTTATTTGATATGTGTGAAGGCTGTGATACTGCCCGGGTGCCCAAACCGAAGCAGGTCAGCGGACCTCAGTATAGGTCCATGAACATTTTTGTATAACACTACGAAGACCGACTAGTTATTAACTCCATGACTCGTCCCAACCAAGCATTTCGCAATGGAGGAAGATATTTGCTTGGCCTTTGATCTTGTTTGACCAATGCAGTTCAGTATGTGCCCAGTCACCCTTAATGAGAGGTCACGATTGCTCTTCACTATGCACATTTCCCCATGTACATGAAAATTGATACATTTGTTTCTCTTTAACTTCTAAATTGTACGGTTGACCTTTTACCTTTCCATATATATGTCGTTCGGAATGTATAGCATAAATATATCTTAATATCCTGATAAATGTATTCTCGTTATATCAATAACAGGCAACACAAAATTACGTGAGATTTTGGGAGATAGTTACGTCTTTAAGTCCCTCAAGTATGAGCTGTAAGGGGCTATGATGCTATATCATTGTTTTGACAATTATTCTGTACTACTTTAACATTTAAAAGGCCGAAACAGAAACGTGGTATCAGCTCAGGAGGTCATTAACTGTTGATCTGAGTCCTGCAATTAGATCCAGTCTACCTGAAGGTGGTCCATTCAATAAGCACGATCCGCGGTTAGAGACTCCGGATGCAATAGATGAAAATCGGTCACAAGGACTCACATGAATTTACTTCTTATTTTCTTACCGATTCTGAATTCCAACAATCCCTTCTGTTATTTTTATTCTGCCGTGCGAATTGAGATGGCCACTTAGAGCAACACACTCTTGTGCCAAGTTCTATGTAGATGAAATCTGCCATAAAATTTATGTTTGATAACTCAGGGAGACGGTTTATATGTCGCTCTATGTGGAAAGTAACTTCGCGATACCTTACAAACAGTACAAATGGCATGGACGAGTCGATAGATATTTAGACAATTTTCTTGAATCATTATGCATATCAAAAACAGCACGCTTTTGACAAACAAATCAAAGATTACGACTGTAATTAAAGTAACATTCTTCGGATAACTTTCGTAAAGTCTTGCATCACAGACAAAGTGATTTTTGTGAAGACCCGAAGGCCGAAAAATCTCCAGAATTTTAACGTGTACAGAAAGGATGTTTCGAAAACTTCAAGCCATCAACTATAGGAAGTTGGATGAGCTTAAGTATTCATTATAAGATGCTATTTACAAACGATTAAATCCTTACCGTCTTAATGTCCATGGTATAATATCAACATCCAGTATCGATGAGACCAAGTGGAAGTCACTCATAACACTTATGACAGGTTTTTCAGATCGACGATGTTTCTCACTGCCACCGAAGTTCCGAAGAGTGTCGGCCGCTCCTCGATGTATAAGACCGTGTTTAGAAGATTTATACCCGTAAATTTCTCCGTAACTCTCACCTATTAAAGAATATAGTCATAAGAATCTACACACCTTTTCGCTGAAGTAAAATTCTAAGTAAGGGCTTTGAAGAATTTACAGCTAATTCGAAATTCTTGTTATTACTTATCGGTAGTAAATCTGCGTTTTTCGGCTCGACATACTGAATAACAAAAGGGATGTTGAACAACATGTGAATACGTTCAAGTAGGGAATAGAGAGCGTTGTATTGTAGTGTATCCTCTGCCATGAAACTAAATCGCCGGAACTCGGCACCAAACTTTAATGGGAATTATTTTCGTGTTGTATAGAATTACCTTGCTTTTGACTTCTACGAGTCTACTTGGGTTCATTCTCTAACCAACCTCAAAGCTCGCTCCCAAAGCAATATTCAAAACTGCCCACAGGGTCAAACTTCAAACTTTGCTAAGTCAAATAGAAAAATCCTTACTTTCTGGGTCTTAGTGACAAAAGGGTGTATTTGTTTATGGAAAGATATAATCCCTATTTCACTTTTTCTTTAAAAGTGTGGCGTTAGTATGATTGTTTTATCACATGAATTCTGTCGTTTTTTGTTACAGATGAGTTAAACTCAACTTAAGAGCTAATTTAGAACGCTGTGTTCAGGAGGATATTACTTATCTTATCAAAGATGTAGAAACTGGGCTTTCTTTAAGCAGTAGACATTAAGCCATAAACATGAATTTCCAACACGTTTTTCTAGGTGCGACTAGAACGAGTACATCTACTTCCTATCCATCTTATTGTAAGATGAAGGGTGATCTCATGTTACAAGCCCACATATAAAACAGTGGCTTTACTGCCAACATGTATTATTTTTTGTTTTCTCCAAGAATAGTCATCTTCGAAGTCTTTACAAACAGCTTCTAAAACGTTGATCAAGGAAACTCAGAGTAGTACACTTTTTCTCACAGTGGTAAGCAACAAGAACACACTAACTGAGAAAGTGATTTTGACTCCGTTGATGAACCCTTTCAAGGCAAATTTAGTTATTAACTGGTGTACGTGCTGTAAATATTATTACAGACCAACCGTTATACTGCTCTTATGAATGAAGGCTGAATACTAAGACGCAGAAATGTTCATCGATGACGGTGTAGGGCCAGTGAAATGTCACTGAGCCCTAGCCAAATCGTCCGGCAGTTGGATCACTGAATGTCGAACAGATCATCGCTCCCTGCCAAGGTCATGTACAAGCAACGCGCATTAGTTAATCATACGCCATGGACTGGCCCATGCGGCAGTGGTCTTACTTTCGCTTGTATCTACTTTAACTAATATATTTCTGTAATAACGTCCTTTGTGTTGTACAGTCTTCAAAGCATCTATAGTACCTTGTTACGTCAATGGGGGTAGTCCACGTAAGGTGCTGACCACGAGGTGTGACTTCGACGTTAGTTGGTTCGTCACACTATTCACGTCTAACTCGAGTCGGCCTCCAATCATTTCGACATAGATCATCTACGTTGGTGATCTACACTGGTGAGCAAGACTTCGAATAACGCAACCTATCACTATAATCTTTATTATTGTATTCTATACTTATTCTTTTTCATTTTTATCATCGCCTATGTTAATCTGTTACTGTGAACTTTCGTTGCTTCATGTCAATGTTGATTAGCATTTAAACCTAGATAATTCGTTCAATCGACAGAACTAACCAATCAACTACGATTATAATCGGCTATCGTGGTTCTTTAACAAGCATTAGCAGCATGTAAATGCTCCTGTGTAATATGTCTGTTAAAATATCAACCACTCGTGAGTATAGCCACAAGGCAACACGAACGCATATCTCTTTGTACCTTATCCACTGGTATAAATAAGACAAGATTAACTATCGACTATAAATTCATCTTTCTGCTTAACCACTATCCACTAGAATGTTCTGCTTTTTTTTACCACTACCTGCCTAATTTCCAATTGCTGAGTTCCATGGCCAAACAGAGGATACGAATGCTAGAAATTCACGGTGAGTTTGAACTATAAATTTCCTGCGATCTTAGATCTCGTTTAGACTGTTCGTCAGGTAATGCTATGTATTCGGCTTAAATTAATTCTGGACTTATACAAATTCAGTCTACAATGCTGTGTTAATCGAAAAATTTAATCAACAGTACCTCGTACATAATCCAGATTCAAACTACTGCCTACTTCATTACTTAAAGGCAAGAGTAACCCAGGCGAGTTTCATAATTTCATTAGATTATTTCGTACTATATTTATGATGCGTGATAACATTTCGTAGTTGCTTTCACGTAAACCAGTCATATATTCTGTCACTGCCGTCAAATTTTAGTCGAAATCATGTACATTTATGACTCGTTAGTCGACATACTGTGGTAAAACATATTGCATGTACACGAGCACGCTTAGTCCATGTCCCAAATACACATGTTGTCGTACTTAATATGTCACTTAACGCTAGGTAATAAACTCTTTGTATCAGCCTTTTACGAAATGGCCACGTTACCTGGACCCCCTAAACCTTAGTTACATTGGTGGTTACCATTCTAATTAATGTTTATTATACCCCTTGTATTTGCTATTAATTCACGCGGTAAATCATGGCTCGATTTCCTTATTACACGACAGTCATTTCAATTCTATTTTCGGTTTATTTACATGCGATACGGGTTTGGAAAATATCTAAACGTCCTCGAAAATTCCCCACGAACCCAACCATAGTTTTCGTATATGTTTTTATTCACACATCCAACTGTTACGCTAATCATACCTAAGCGAACGTTCAGTGCAACTGTCAGTATACGTAAGAACGATGTTATTTAGACTTGACATTGTAACACATCTGAACTATTGTTTCCTCGTGGCTGTTATTTAACAGATGATTTCGGTACATCAATCAGCTGTTCAACTACTCGACGATTTACAACCTGTCCAGTTCAATTGGTGGTCTGACGACAATATCATTCGCGCGAATCATCAGTTTATGCAGTCGAGCGAATCTCCTGCAAACTGAAAACGATATTGTCGCCTCTATCCCAACACTGACAGCGTTTTTCACGGCTATCATTGACATGAGTCCAGAGTGACACTCTTGTTTTCTTATGTTCTTTTCGATATTTTTCTGTTCACTAACCGAACAAACACGCAGCATTCACCGTTTATCATCTTTTAGAGACTTCATCGTGCCACCTTTTGCTGTCGATTTGTAGCCTTCAACCCTTACTGACTGTAACAGCAGTCATCGACTTTTCAAACTGTGACTACAAGTTGGTCAATAGCTTCGCACAACGAAATAACGACCACTCTTCACTGTTATACTTCTGTACTTACGGTTAGTCTGTTAGATATAGATATAACTGGAATTCGACACTAATTAATAGCTGTCAACGACACTGTCCGACTTACAACTTTAAACTAATGACAGTACAAATATGGATATCGATTGATAATACACTTATCCTACTATCGCTATAGCATCATTACTCTTGCGGCAGACTTAACGTTTGTCATCGGAGGAACTGAATTGCTTGTCGAAGCTATATATTTCAGCGCGACTTGATAGAACAATTAAACGCTTTGTTCTTTTCATTATTTCTATGGTTAATCGCTTTACGTTTAACCAACGTCCTACTAACATATTATGACTCGCTGTTTCCCGACCAGTTTCTGCCGCCTCCTTTCCATTTCTTTTACAGATAAGCAATACCTGGAGGATTTATAATATTCGTTTGGCACTCTCTGGCGCGCGACTGCTCCCAACATGTTTGGTACCGATTCAAACGGCCGTTGAATCTGGTGGGGGAGTATTGTAGGGCCAGTGAAATGTCACTGAGCCCTAGCCAAATCATCCGGCAGTTGGATCACTGAATGTCGAACAGATCATCGCTCCCTGCCAAGGTCATGTACAAGCAACGCGCATTAGTGAATCATACGCCATGGACTGGCCCATGCGGCAGTGGTCTTACTTTCGCTTGTATCTACCTTAACTAATATATTTCTGTAATAACGTCCTTTGTGTTGTACAGTCTTCAAAGCATCTATAGTACCTTGTTACGTCAATGGGGGTAGTCCACGTAAGGTGCTGACCACGAGGTGTGACTTCGACGTTAGTTGGTTCGTCACACTATTCACGTCTAACTCGAGTCGGCCTCCAATCATTTCGACATAGATCATCTACGTTGGTGATCTACAACGGAATAAGTGATCTAAGAGAAACAAGGTGATGAGTGACCGCTGCTATCTACTGAACTCAAACAAGTATAGTCTTCTATTAAAAGACACAGAAGATAGTGCAATGACTGTCATTTTTCTTGGGCATTTGGTGTGGGTTGAAATAAACATAATTTGTAAACAAGTTCTGTCACCATTCGTAGTTTTTCGTAGTTCCATGCAATGTATACAAATATTGTACTGACTGAAATACTTCTTTTTAAATTGACTTCTATTATTACTGTTCACTTTTCTCATGGTATGCTGATTGTGGTTCGTTAAATAAATGTGTTCGCAAATACACCAAATTCTGACTTTATTGGCTGCCGTCTTCCAACTGATTGCTAATAATCCTGTTGCACGTTTTGGCTCATTTTATACAACATAGTTTCTGGTATTTATGCACGAATGCTTTGAATTTATATATGACAATCATTGAAACTATTTTTCCCACATTGTCATAATACTGGATACACATTCCTTTCTGCGGATACGCACACTTCTGACGATAACATGTATCTAGTGATGACACTGGTTCCTAGTCACACGATCTTTGGAGCTGAACACGTAATTCTCGAGATTTAAAGTCGACATAAAACACTTAGAGATCAAACTGGTGAACTCAGGGACACGAGTCGACAGAGACATTACTCAGCCATGCAGGCGTGCTCATGATAACACTACTATCCGCACCAAATATGTGATCCTAAAACTCTACCTGTAAACCTTCTGGGCTTGCTTTCAGTCCGGAAGCCGGGTAGTGCGGGGTCAGCGTCCTAATCCCATGGAAAACCACCTTGTTAAGAAACCCTAACCAGAATAAACAATTTGAACCACTTAAGCTCTGAAATCAGAAACGAAGGCTCTTTATTCAGAATAATTATGACGCCTTATGGTAAAAACCGAGATTTTTCGGAAGTCACGGTGCCGGTACTCCGTCTAACTCCATTGGAGACAACCTGGACAGAAAAGATTAGATTCGGAAGATGCTGTTGTACTCTGAACATGAAGAAGGAAATGCTCCTCACACATGTATTTGTACTGATGTTGTCGAAAGAAACATGGGAAGTGTTTATAAAATAGATATCTCACAGATCCAGGGACATCAGCGAATCCTCCTAAGCGAAGAATGAGGGAATTACAATTAATGCTGTCCAATGTTATGCACCCACTAATGATAGCAATGTGGACGATGGAGATCAGTTATATGAGAGGTTGCATTCGATCGTAGCGAAATGCTCAGTAAAAAGCCTGACCACGCTGATAGGAAAATTGGACGCTTATATCAGAATGGGCGAAATCCGGTATGAAGATTTCATGGGACGACATGAACTGGGAGGAAGGAACAAGAATGTGACATATTTTCAAACTTGTACTCACCAAAAAAAATAGTTATAGATGATACAGTGTCCCTTCAAAACACACAAAAACATAAAAGGATATCTATAATGTTTTGAATTCTTTGAATTATAGCACGAACTAGGAATCCCAGAAATAATGCAATTGAATTAAGTGAGACACAAGCACAAACGAATGTATTGTATTTGGAATTCGAAATCGAGCATTCAACAAGTACAAAGGTATTATTAGTTCGTTCAAACACCACAGTATCACCGGACCAGACTACACATAACCAGGTCGATTATATTTTATTATTAATATTCACGAACAACTTATGGGTACACAAGTGTTGTGAAGAAACCGTTTCGGGTTTCTTCAAAAATACAATAACACACAATTTTCAATAATGTTATCATTATATTTGCCACGTTTGAAAAAGAAATAGTGAAATTACTGATAATAATAATAAATCAGGTTCTGTAAAATTGATAAGAATATTGAGTTACTTTAAAAACACTAAAACATTCAGGTCAATGGAAGATTTGAGAACCAGGAGGGGAGCTGACATAGTTCTACATTGTCACCTAGTTGTTGCAAAGATGAATCTGAAGCGAAAGAAGAATTGGACAACTGGACAAACAGCATTACAAAGGTTCAATACAGCCTTCCTTTGAGATACTAACAAACTCGATGAACTCTCGACAACGGGTTCCAAGCCTTACAAGTCTACTCAAAGAAGATCACAGTACCATGGAGGACAGTTGAAAAGGGATCAAAGAAGCAGCAACTTCGACGTGTCAGGAGGTTCTAAGCCACAATTAGCATCATCATGTGGAACAGATTTCGATCGAAACTCCGGACAAGATTCAGGAAAGAAAGAACAAGAAGGTAGCAACTAACAACAGCTGAACAATAGCAAAGTAAGCCAACGCACAAGCTGAATACACTGAAGCAAACAATCAAGTGAAGAAGAGCCTTAGTGTCGACAAGTTGTAATATGTACAAGACCTACCAGTGAAAACAAAAAAGCTGCGAAATATGGAAATATGTGACAGAGGTATGATATAAAGAAAAAGATAGCTGGGAAATGCTATAAACTAGGGAGAACAGTCAAGTATAAGTAGGACAAGCCAACCACTGAGATTCAAGCACATAGGAACAAGTGGAAAGAGCACTATGAAAAACTCTTGAAAAGACCAGTCCAACTGAACTAATCGGATATCGAAACTACAAACAGACATTCTTACGGATGAAACTTTACTAGACGTCGAGGAAATTAGCTTGGCCACCAGACAAATCAAAAGTGGGAGAGTAGCAGGGCCAGAGAACATAACAGCTGAAGCAGTGTATTCAGACAGAGATGACTACATAGGTGCTCCACGTTCTATTCAGTAAAATTAAAGATGGAGAACATGTGCCAACAGACTGGAAAAAAGTACACTTCATCAAGATACCAAAGAAAGTAGACTTGAGCAAACGCGAGAACTAGAGGGGCATCACACTACTATGGGTACTACGAAAAGTTTTCAACCGAGCGTTGCTGAACCGAATGGAGGATTCAGTAGACGCCCACTACGAGACCAGCAGGTGGGATTCAGCAAATACAGGACACATACTGCAGAGTTCATCAGTTTACATCACGAGACGAACCCCAACTTGGAATCTTGAAGGGAAAGGTGGAAGAACAAAGTAAGCATTAAGCATGGAATTGAATGCAGACATCAAAAGAATGAATAGAAGGTTGGAACAACTGGAATCGAAAGCCTAGGATAGAGTTGAAAGGAAAATCCCGGTCGACGATAAATGCTCTCACGAAGGGTAGCAGACTCAGGTAGGCGTATTTAAATGGCTAAATATTAATTATGTGGGAGATAACTGCATACTTCGTTGGATCAATGATTGAACACTTATCTTCTAATACATTAGTTGAATGTCCTTTTAAATATTTCAGTTCCCACCCCCTAGAACATTTAGTTGGTTTTGCCTTCTACAGTATATGCACTTGATATTAGAGGATGTGTTTTGTTCAATCAGTCAACATGATTATTTCAGTAAATACACAGATGAAGTCGTCATACAATATCGTTACGTTAACGCTTGTTCATGAAGTTTAGACGCTACGTTTGTTTCGTATCATAATTAATGTAGATACTTGGGCTAAACGAAAATCTTACGTTGAGATATGAAGTAAAATAATATCTCTTACATTCCTACCAACTGTTGTCACAAATAATTAAAACAAAAAGTGCATTAGACTGATCAAAATGTGCTATTCTACTGCATTTTAGATACTCATGGTGACACATAGATCAACTGCATATAGTATCATGTTCAAAGACTTATTAAACATATTTGTTTCAATACATTTATGATTTATGCATTCCTGTTTGTTACTCATCATTCAATACCGAGATAGTGGACTATGGAAATCGCTTTAATGTTATTTAGCGAATTGAAATTCAGTAAATATCTACTCACGATAAACCAGTTTTACTTCTCTCAACCATAACAATAGTCAGTCCTTATCCGTAAAAATGCAAACAGAACCATGAATCATTGAGACTAATTTTAACGGATGGAAACCACTTGATTGTCTGATCCATTCCGAATTCACATTAAAAGACGTAATGATTGGTCATTGACCTGAAACACATACTCCTGGGGATTATCTAGCACAACTAGTTCCCCTGCACGCTTATATAAGGAAAAACAAGGATCTTATTAAAATGTAGTTAATATATAGGGATGAATAGATCTATCCTCATTGTTTGTCGCATCGCAAAATACATACATTAGAGAGAGTATTGGATAAACATAAATATAACTTAGGTAAACTAAAAACCAACATGAGGTATTGGTATATTTTTCCGACTTTTACATATTGCGGGACAGTCAAGTAACGAATTGCTTTATGAGTAATACAGGTTAAGAAAGCCATACAGATGTCCAAAGCTAGACAAATACATATGATTCCAAAACTGCCTTTTCAGAATGACTCACTTTTTAAGTAATCAAAAAGTTACCTAAACCTGCTTCCTTGCCGCCAAAATCACTTTCCTGTTCACTTAGAAAGTTTGTGTAAATTGGTCCAATGTCATGATCATCACTGTTAACGAATTGATGTTCACTGGACAAATATTCAGTAGTTTTGGAGCACAAAATACGTTTGCGAATCTACACAGAGTATCGACGACCGGTGGTCTTCCCATTATACTACAAACTGACTGACATTAGAAATGCAGACTATCGAGTTCCAGTGATGATTTAAATGTATTTGTTGGAATATTCAGAAAAATATCCCAAAAACCATCCTGCTAAGTCTAATGCTATCCTTGGACTTGAAATCGTATCATTTTCCTATTGGTCAATATTTATTTCAGGTGTCATTTTCCTGTTGGCCAAATATTGTACAAATGTTATCTTCTATTTTATAGTACGATGTGGTCTTGAAGATGCTACAGGTATTCAGAGTTTGACAATGCTTTAACCAGTAACACTCTAATACGAAGCGTACCCACCAAGTGAAATCAAAAGACAGAAGAAAGGAAGCTTGGAGATATATTTGATATGCTATCAATATATCGAGAATCGTCTAATCTAATCTGACTAGCGATTGTAGGAGTTGTTGAGCACGGCGTTCCCACTCGTGATCTAGTGCGGATGCATGACCGAGCGCCTTCAGCTAGGTGAGTCCATTAAAACTAATGTGGTCAGCATCCAATGTCGAAAACTTACAGAGCTATTTATTTTGGGGATATATTTACCGCTATAGTCTGTTTGATTGGTATATAAACTCAATATGCTTGAAATATAATGATTCATATCGCAGAGGCTGAGACTTGTATTCTGAACTTAACTGGCTGGGCTAAACTGGAAGCAGGGCTAATCAGGACTCTAGACTGCTTATACGGTTTTACGCATCATTGATCCGATCGATAAGTCACTACGGTCACAAGTTATAACAGTATTTTACTAGATCCCTCAAATGAAAACGATATCCTTGATGGGACTATTAGATAACCACTTATAAAATCGACTCTTTCAGCAGATATTCTGCAACGAACAGTGCTTTCATATCAACTCTATTTTCTTATAAAGAATAAGAATAGTCAATAATATTATGTAATTGATGATTATCTTTTGTTAACATTTTATTCGTGTAAAAATAAATGAACAAATGATAGATTTTATTATTAGTAAATAAAACATTCATTTATTATGTACATTGTAGTGTCAGTTACTATGGCAAGCCCATATACCTTATTCTAACTTCCGGACATCCCATTTTATTCATTTTACTTGAGCCATATTTTGACTTTGTCAATTATTCGCTTGTCAGTCTTGACTGTTTTTATATGAGCGTATATGTGTGTGCCCTTCTTATCCTATTAATCACATGTCTGTAGCTTAATTTTGTCTGACTATAAATATTGAGTAACGCTTTACTAAAATGGAGTTGGCTTCCCAGCCATCTTCCCTGCGTGTCATTTTGCTTTGCTATGTTTCATTCGCTTCATGTACGAAATATATGTATTCTCAAGTCAATTCTCGTTATTCGACTTATTTAATTCCGTTATTGGATAATGCGATTTAAGTCGACGATGATATACGAGAATCAGCGATAGCAAACATTCATACAATCATTCGTACGCTCTAAATGGAGTCAGGTCAACGGGCACAAAAACATAAACATACATGAAATAAGGGTAGAAAATAAACAAATCTAAATAAGTACATAAAATGTATCATTAAACTGGTATTATGATTATAAACTATGAAAAATAAGCATAACAATCAATGGTATAACTAAATTATCAATTTGATCAATATATGCTTCAATAAGTACACCGATGAATAAAGGAATAATACCGGTTAACCAATACCATGAATAATAATATGATATTATTGTCCATGCAATCATCTAAATGATGTAACAATATAATAAAAAAAAGGATGATGTATTCAAGAAATGAGTCATTTGAACATGTACTTGATATAAAGACTAGAAGGAATTGTTAAGAAGGCTTTGTACTTCATTGTTAGTATCACCAATTCCAATGCCCCTCAAATACCCTGGTATGGCCGAGAGTGGGGTGGGCACGCCCTCCCTCTTGAAATGCTCTCACATGGGTACGCGTATATAGCCTCTGGCAGGGAAGTCCTACTCACTGCCTTCTCGTGGTGGGGGTGTTGTTTACGAAAATGAGAGGACGAAAAGAGAATGTCTGGCGCTTTAACCGGATTCCAAACCAATGGTGCACATGGGCTCCAGTATCCTGAATGAACAAATGGCGTATAAACCAATCGTTGGTCACCGGCTACCATGGGACTGCATCTCCTCACGATGCTCTACTGCCTTGTGGGTCAGACTTTTAGGTCAAAGGCTTGGGGTGTGGTCTCCTAAGAAAACCACCTCCTTCGATCTAGGCACCCGGGCAGTATCACAGTCCACACACAAATATGATGAAATTTGTGTGGCGCATATATATTTGGTGTCCTCTTGTACCAATATTTATGTGTTCAAATAAAAAAATTTAAAAAATATCCTATAGCAACACATTGACACAACTCATTGGATTAACTCTAAAACAGTTTACAGCATATATAACTGGGAAAATTTGAATTATGGATTTCGTAACAGTAAAATCATTTGATGAGACGAATGAAACTGTCTATTACCTGATGTCTATTGTAAAAGATTGTTGTTCTGGAATGAATTTTTTTTTATTTTACCCAACTTTATACATTAAGTTAGAAAAAGATCACTTTTTTTCCGCATAATTGGTTACAAGCGAGAAGAGAGCCAAGCACAAATTCCCTAATCCTATCCATTACTCAGTAAGTTAAACGCAATGCAGAACACAGAACATATGTACATTGGTTCAAGTTACCATAAGCCAATTTAGCACAGCGAGATGATATTGTCAAGACAAATCTCATCCCCTCATCATCAAATGGCGAATATTTAGAAATTTAGTCTCTTCAAGGCAACAAACTTATAGCAGGAAACATTTCAAACTAAATTATTACAAATAATTAGATACGTTTCTAGTGCGTTAGAAATATTTGTGAACAATCTGATGACATTATTTTAATGACAGAAAAATGCAAATACGAATCCAATATTATTTTATGAACTGAATCAGTTGAACTCATTTGTATTGGTTATCTGGATCTTCGCATTGATATTTAGGACTGAAATTAATCAGTCTCTTATTGGCAAATGTACATCCTGCACACATTATCTCGATATTGCCATTAAGTCACAAGCACCATAAGCACAGACAGATGATAGTTAGCAATGATATTCGCGACGCCTATTTGCCTTATTTGGGACTTGTTAGCTGGATGTACCTGAACTCAAGAGTTGAACAGTTGCATTCCTGAACATCAATGGGAACATTCAAACAACCAATAGAAATGAATTGAACTTCACCTTATTGCACAACCTAACCCATTGGCTACCTGGACTTAGTAGCTAAGTGGATAACTTGACAGCGTTTGATGTAAATGGTACTGAGCTTGAGTCCCGGAGTGAAAATCAACTATGGAATGCAAATATACCCAGCTAACGAGTGCCAAAAGGGACGAACCCTGTGTTACAAATTCGACTGCTAGCCACTTTCCATTTCCGCTGATAGTTATCGATTACTTATTACGCGGGGAACTGGACTACATTAGTGGGAAGTACTAATTCTAAACGACACTATCATAGTTTTCATTACAAGAAATACTAAATGTATTTTCTACGACTGAAAGTTATGAAGTTTCTAGACATTCAGCAAGACCGTTGATCTCGACGACTTCGATTAAACGCAGATTTCTTGCATAGAGAAAGTAAAATCAAAATTCCGACTTCGGTTAATATAGTAATTTACTAGTAATGCAAACAATACTTGTATCACGTATACATTCAACAAGAGAAACCAGAATATTTTGATGGTGTTGTGAATTCTTGAGAATTTAATTAAATCATTCGACAAATGATTTAATTTGTTTAATCTGGTTAGTGTTTTTACTATGGGATGGGGCTACCGACCCCGTGCCCAACCCTCCTTCTTTACCCGGGCTTGAGAACGATAGTAACTCTAGAAGAGCTACAAGCGGATATAAGTCATATCCTGAGGATCACGGGTTATGATAATACAACCTAGTCGCCTAAACCGAAGTAAGTCGAGCGGGGTTTGAACCGAGGAGTTAGTGGCTGAACGTTGAGCGCACCATAACCAATAAGCTCCAGGTCCGTTAAATTGGGGCTATCCAGCCACTTTTCAGGCAAAGGCTACATTCATTAAGCCACGACTCGAGCACATCGCACCACAACATACCGATCAAGTCATCTAGACCAGACTAGGCTGTGGCCGGATTATTAGGACGGAGCCTTTGACCAGCAACCCACGTTAATATACGGGTATACACGCCAGCAGGCACTCGCCTAATCCATGATTTAATGTGCTACTATACTAAAGGGTCCGAACACTGAAAGCCTCGAAATATAGTTTGGGGCCCGGTTTCAGGAGACTTAAAATGACAAATCTACATTGAAACATTTTTATAGGAAGCATTGGGTCTCACTTTTTCCAGTCGTACCTATGGCACATGGAAGGACTTCTTGACAAATCACAGTAACGAAATCCTTAGATTATTACGAAAATAATTCAGTGTCAATAATGAGTTAGTGATTGAACTTCTTAGTGAGGAGATAAGAATAACGACAATCCAGTGGATCATTCAACAAAATGTTCTTAACATTAAATCAATGCATGCCTATATTACTACTATATACACAAACATACATACATACTTGAGAAAAGAAAGAAGCGAAAGATCCTAGATATGTTCGATGTGATCCAGGCCAACGACGCTTTCCATAAGCTCGTCCAATTAATGCAGCAAAACTATCGCCTATAGCTATTGATAGAACTCCTGACCATGATGACGGCTTCACATCCAATTGGTAACATAAGTTGCCTGGTTATAAATTAAAAAAAACTTCTTTACGAAATCTATGTATTGACTTAAGCTTATGCGTATAATAATAGATATTTGAATATTAATAACACTTAATTTAAAAAAAACAGAATTGATCAAACTATTTAACTGAATGGTTTCATAAACACAGTTACTAAGCTCTAAGTCAGGTTGCCAAAAAATTTTTTTAACTACACACTAACAACTAAAGAAACTCATACATAGTTGCTCAGTCATCAGAGTTAATGTCATTTTATCAATAGTACAAGTGCAAATGTGCACAGTTTTTCACTGATACTTGATAGTTGAAAGTCATTTCACTTGTCTTAATTCATGCTATAAAGTTCAAACATTAAAATATTTCACTGGTTGAAATCATGAGTCAATCGAAGCTAGACCACCATGGAAAACCTGGAAGCACTGAACGGCTGTTTTGTCTTTAGTATTGGACTCTTAAGCAGTGCGCATCCACGATCCCACACCCCGCGAGATTCGAACCCAAAACCTATCAGTCTCGCGCCAGGCGCTTAAACAACTAGACCACTGGGCCGGCATCCAACGGTGTTATTGTTTAACTTCAACCAATCCACGAAGTTGCGCCACCGCAAACCATTGTCTTCAGTGAGTTACTATCTCACAACAGATACGGTTGAACTCCACTAGCCACGGCTTCTCACCAGAACTCTAGGAAATAACTCTTAGAGACAGTCACTAGTGAGCATATGATGATTATAATCGGACAGGGGTTTTGAAATCCATATGGAGTTAGTCACTGATGAACATACTAATATATAATCTTCACAATTCAACTGTATATTTACTAGTAATTAGCATAGCAACTGAAAAAGTGGTCATCGTGTATAGATCTTGACAGATTATTGCTTTACTAATTGTATAGATATTAACTAATTTGGACGAGGTAGAGCATTAGTTATGACCACCGGACACAAAATTGTGCTCAGGACTGTTAGTTTTCTTTCTGTACGAACATGATAACTTTCGAAACCACTAGTTTAGAATTCGATAATTTACATCCATGAATTCAGTCAATTCGCATTATATAGCGATGTAACGATCATCCAATTCTCCTGAACTTATTCTCCAATGAAACACAACCCAAAATGCCGGATAAAAGATACAAGTACAGTAGACGTCAGTATTTGAAATGAAATCTCTAATAAAAAATATGCTTCGAAATTCGGAACTTATTCATTAAAGGAAAGGAGAGACGACTGAGTGTTAGATACGATACCCTCGGGGTACATGGAAAACGACGGGTAACGTCAGCCTCTAATCGTATTAGTGACATGGTTCAACTCCAACAGGAATCACTTGTCAGTAGAAATTCTGGAATCCATATGGAGCTAGTCACTGATGAACAGATTATTTCTCTGTCATAAGAAAATCTATAAAATTTGCAAACTAAATCGACACTTCACAATTAGGATAGTTTTTTTTAACCACAAGCCCATGAATGTTAATGAATTGTGATCTAAAAAACAAAAGAATCAATCACCACTGAACTACTTCACTAACCTATAAAAATACTAGCTAAATAGTACTTTCGTCTATCAGTAGACTTAGTGTTTGATATTTGATGGGTCAATGTTTGGATTTACACAACAAGGATTGAACTTAGTGTTAGTAATTATGATCTTGTATATTGTTAAAAATAGGAGTTCTAATGTGATTTACAAAGAGTTGAATGTGCTCTATATTTTATTGTTGTACTTTTGTAGATAGTTGTCAGTTTTTTTTCATAAAGCCTTAAATGCCCTGTTACGGTCGAGGTTGGAGAGAGTCCGCTTTCCCTCTCGAAATACTCCCACATGGCAACGCGTATATAGCCGTTACCAGGGAAGTCCTACTCACTGTTGCTTACGAAATTGCGAGGAAGAAAAGCGAATATCCAGTGCTTTAACCGGGTTTGTGGACGTGGAGGATCCACCTAGGGGAGTTGGAAAACTCTGATTCCAAACCAATGGTGCACATGGGCTCTAGGATCCTGAGGGAGAAAATGGCATGTGAAACTACTGTTGGTCACCGACTACCATGGGACTGTATCTCCTAACGTTAATCCATTGCCTTGTAGATTAGACCTTTAGGTCAAAACCTCCAGGTCTGACCCTCTAAGAAAACCACATGCTTCGGTCTGGGCACCCAGGCAGTATCACAGCCCTCACAAAAATCAATGATAACTACTACTGGCCTCATTTTTATTATGTGAAGCTTATGTATTCGGTGCCCCCATGTACCAATGTTTGTGTTCAGTTCAAATAAATAATTCTCTTAAGTAAAATGTTCTATAAAACCGATAAACTTTAATTTACTTACCAATACTAATTATACTCCCATTAGTATTTCTATTTTGTGGCCACCAAACAGGAATACTTAAACCGAGTAAAAGAGCAATAGGTGTGAATAGAATGTCACCAGAATCTCGTTTATCACGAAATGGATTAACCAAAGTACTAAGGTAGGAGGAAAGAGTAGATGGCTACAATTTAGAAATGAAAATTTAAAAACAATTTCTAGTTTAAGTATTACATTGAAAACTTGTTTGAAATTATGTACAATTACGTCAGTTTGTTGCCCAGAGTAACTTATTATGTATCAGTCAGTCAGTCATTCAGCTACAATGTAGGACCAGGCACATATGTGCATTGGTCCAGGTTGCCATACCGCATCAGCACAACAAGATGAACACCGGATTCACAGCAGTGGTTAGGTCAAAGGTGGTAATATATAAGAGAAAGATTGCATATAGAGATATAGTACAAGAAGAAAGAATTGGTTCGTAGAAAGAAAAATATGAAGCGATTTTAATCTCTTAGTTTAAGGGAAGACAGGGAGTGTATACACCGACGCCATTGTGATCGATTCTGAGCCATGTCACCAAGAGTCTCCAACCATTGGTTACGACAGTCACGCGGACCCCAACCAAGTAGTCTGCATCTACCAACATGGCTCAGACTAGAAGTTAGTGTCTTCAAGCACTGATGCCACGTTTTGGTTTGGCCGCCCCTAACTTTCTTCCGACCATCTCCAATACCGGATAGCATTGCACGTCGTAGTAGTCGGTGTTCAGGCATACGTAACATGTATCACATTTATTAAGTACAGGTTTATGCAATTGGCCTCGATCCATATTGTTTTTCGTACGGTTAAATGATATTAATCAGTAGACTAAAATGAAGTAGATGTGACCGAGTTCGAATCGTTGACTTACTGACCGAAACCTGAGTACCTTAATATTTAAATGACAATGACATATTAGTAGACTAAGACTAAAATAAAAAGGAAATTTTACTGAAATGATAAAAATCAGATTGATGACTGGATAATTGAGTTAAGTTTAACAGTTAATTAGATGGTTCTATTTTTAAATTATTTAGCACCCTTTATATTTAGACAAGAATAAAATGATCTAGATAGGAAACGAGTGCAATGAAATGTAAATATATTTGTGACTGTCACACAACAGCGGCCTACTTGAGATAAAATGAAACTGGAACAAGGTTAGTAGTCCGGTCTATTAAAACATCAATTTAATCACTAGATACCTTTTCTAATAACTGAATCATTTACGTTGTTTGAAACGTCAGATCGGGGGAATACGATCATATAAATTAATTAATATTTAGAAGAACTTCGCCTGGAGTCCCTCCGGGGGCTACTGCCGGTCCCATGCCCGGATAAAGGAGGAGGGTTGGGCATGGGGTTAGCGTCCCCATCCCGTAGAAAACTAACTCGCTAAAAAAACGCTAAATATTTAGAAGAGAAATACTATTATCCTCACAACTGAACTGGGTGAAACACCTAACCGTACTCAACAAAAAGGCTGTTTGTAGTAATTATGCTTTAAAAGCATACAAATGATAAGCATTACAATCTGAGCAATAGAATTTTAAAAAACTGAAGATAGAACAAGACAGAAACAGCATTATATATCTCAATGAATACTAGGTGCGCGAAAAACTCAGATTTTTTTTAATATTCACATGGAGAACCACAAGGAATTAGTTAATCCAAGATTTGATTCAGACAGACAACCGGGAAGTGATAACCGCCCTCATACCTCTAACAGCACTCAAGCCCACTGACTGATTCAGACAGGTAATATAACCAAAGAATTGTGATTAAGTTTTTTGTACACTAGACCGTGAACATATATTTACTCATTAGCTAAATCCTACCGCAATAATTTGATTTTCAACATGAGTATGCTTTAGTTTTCCCTATGATAGTATCTTAGTGATTATAATACATAGATATAAACTGTAGTAACATCATACTTTATCATTAATTTAAGAAATTTTCATCGTGATTAAAAAAAAACCACGAACAACTAATTTTATCAAATGATCACTGACGTACATTTATTGTATTTACGGTTTATGAATAAGCTGAGTGACGGGAGATATTTTTCTACCAACCAAAGGTCGAGTTTATTATCCAGCAGTACGTTCTCTTTTAATTTATGGATACAAAATATGGTCATTAAGAATAGATGATATTCGTAAGCTACTAGGTGGCTTCAAAGCATGGTCTGTATATTTTAAGACTACCGAGTGAGTAATACTGAGATTAGGCATAGGGTGCTAGGTAGAAATTGAAATTCGATTAACCAGGTAGTGAATCTTGATCGACTGAGGTGGTTGGGACATGTACTATATATCTCCAACTACCGAATATCTCGAAGGGCGGTGCTGTCTGGTGTAGGAGTAGGCTGGGAGAAAGTTAGGAGGGTTAAGTCAAAATGTAGCACCAGTTTGTGAGGTCAGTGACAGTTATACTAAATCATGCAGATGGATATAAACTACGTGGTTGGGATCGGCGTTTCAGCCATCACCAGTGGTTGGAGATTTTTGATGACGTGGTTTACAGTCGCTTGCAATGGCATAAGTGAATTCACTCTTTGTTTCCTCTTGGATCCTGAGTCCCAGAATCGTTTACTCTCCTCTATTACTATTACTAATACTGCAACTACTTTTACTACTCTGACACTTGCCTTGATAATTTTCTCTGGCCATGTTGATACGGTGTGACAACTAAAACCGATGCAGATATGTATCATGCCCTATGTTGTAGAGGGCTGGAGTACTATTCTATATAGTTCCACTTTATACTAATTTCGTAGTTATAGGATAAAGTAGATTTGTCGGTTACTAATACGTATCCTTAGTACATAATATATGTGTTAGTTGTTATAGAATTCAACGAGGTATAACACAAAAGGTTTGGCATACATTTAAGAATAAAAGGACAGGTGATCAGTTCATAGCATTGCACTAAATTTTGAGGGATAGCTCTGTAAGACTCACGTCTGTTGATTTGTCACGACTCTTTTGAAGAGATTCTAAAAATCACCCAACCTGATGGTCTAAGGTTTAAAATAGAAGTCAATGATGACTCTAAGGTCGTTTTCAGCTACACTACCCCTGAAAGTAAAACGAAATCTCGTAAGTGAAAAATGCTTGTCTAAGCCGTCTTTAACTGTAGTGCCTTCCAAACAATATTGATTATATAATCTGTTATCACTTTATTACTTCAAAATATCATTCTAAATTGTGTAATACATCCTTTTAGCGGTGTTATATGAAATTTTCTGTGTTGTTATGCACAGTACATGTTGAAACAAATACGACCACACTAGGAATACCCTGACGGACAATCTTCCTTGGTTTAGTGAACGCTCTGTTTAAAGCCGTGATGGCTTTTGCACAGGTCTTTATCTGTTAGATACGACTACATCAGAGTAAATTCTACGACTATTCTCTACCGTTTAGCTTTGGTGCTAAATAGGTAGATAAGTAGGTAACAATCCAGTCTGACAAGACACTACAATGCACTTGAAAAACAAGCCCCTGTGTGATTACATTGAGTATCGATCTCAAAACCTACTTGTAATTATAATCATAATCAACGTAGTCTAACTAAAAGTATCAACAAACTTACCCCTCGCCTTCGGATCCATTCAAAACACCAAAATACAATAAGTAATGCGATAGACATCAATGAAAGAAGATATGGTGAATAGAGCAAGCCAGATGAATATACAATACCAGCAGCAAAATGAAATAGTTTACGAAGTTGAAACGTTTCTTCTTTGTCATCATATAATAAATCACACGTTGTACGACTATTTCTAATTAATTCATTTTCGCTAAATAATTCATAATATTCACTTTGGTCAGATAGGTTCAATTCATCGGATAATACAATTGAACTATCACAAAATTCTGGCTTAACTGTACTACTATTCATGATTCGATAAGTGTTATGATCAGAACAACGATAAACAATAGTAATATAAACACATAGCATAAATAAGCATAGCCAAAATATCAATAAAATGAAATTAGTTGATACAATAAAGCATTCAATTTGATTGATAATGAAACTAGTAGCTATCTTTACACGACAAGCGTAAATCCAAAAGCATCCAGTCAAAATAGTAAGTGTTATTAACACAAAAAAAGCAATTTTCACTGAGAATCTAATACAATATCGTTCAATTAGAAAGAGTATTAAAAATGGTACTACAAAATTACATTCAGTAAGAAGAAATATTGCAGAAAGTTGAGCAAGTAGTATAGTTTCACCAAACGTAAACGAAAAAGGGAATAGACTTAGTAATTTGTAAGAAAAAAATAAAACAAACATAACTGTAAACAAAGGGCGAATCACCGTACTAACATGGTGAAAATGTTGACAATTCAGCCATATACATATAGGAATGACAGCATGTTTAAAATGACTATTCTTCATTAAGAAGAGTACAGTAATTAAAGATAGAAAAAATTCATAAGCGAGTGCTTTATTATCTGTTTTAAGTAATAAAGCAGGGACGATAAGTCCCAACCATAATCCGGAACTAGCATCTTTTCTTGAAGTTTTTAACAGACGATGATAAGTCAACATGGTAAATAAACGTTGTACGTATCTAGAGGTGTAAATTATTGTATTTTGGAGCCAGGTTTCATTTCTGCGGTGAAGAACACGATAAAATACTTTATCTTAGAGGTTTCAACAAATACATCAACCAGTTACTTTCATTGATAATTTTAATAACAGCTCTAAAAGGTTACACTTTGTGCATGGTTTGTTTAATCAAAAACCTATTCAATTTACAAGACACTCCGTAAAATACAAAGTGTGATAAAGCGACATACTTTTTCGAATCCATGTGTAATAATTTGACACACTGGTCTTCAAATTTACTAGACCCGGGTGGATTGATGAAAGATTAAATCTAAGCTCCAGTATGAGTAATTTGAGATGGGTAACTGATTGTAAGACCTAGCATAAACGCATATTCCTACTATCTACAAACTCCTATAAAAGCGGAAAGTGAAACCATTTATGAGATACCGAAAACATATTGTTTATAAACACTGTATTTTGTGAATTAGCCGTAGTCTCTGGATGCAAAATTATCTAAAAGCTTGAGTCTACTGATAACATCCCAATGCTAAACCTCATACAAGTAGTACTAAGATGTTAAATGTGCAACAGTGGCCTGCTGATTAAAACCACTGTCTTAGAAACCACTAGATTACAGATTTGAACCCTGGTCCGTCTTTGTTTGGGTAGCGGGGCGTCATCCCTAGGTTCACATAATATGCCTCAAAGCCGAGTACACAAAATATGTACCAAACTTGTTACACTGAATCCTCCCGACGTACTCATACATGGTTAGCACGACGAGATAAAAAGACAGAAGTAATGTAGAAGTGACAAACCAGAAGATTAAGAATTGAGAATATTATTTGACAAGACAGGAAAGTTATGGATGAAGGGATACTGAAGTCTGAAACCAAGAGGTAGCTAGGGACTAAATGCATCTTATCCATTTATTTAAACACATATTGGCACAAGGAGGCACCAAATATATATGCGCCATAAAAATAATTTGATTTATACGAGGGCTGGAATAATACCCAGGCGCCCAAACACAAGCAGGTGGTTTTCTTAGGGAGATATTTTGCCTCGTTGTTGTGAATTATTCTGAGCTGTCATTTAAAGTCTCCGATCGCTGATGGCGGTTACCATGTGGACTCAAACAAGTAGTTTGCATCTGCCTACATAGTTCAGACAACAGTCTGTGACTTCATAGGCTGATGCCACGTCCTTGTTTGGTCACCCCTATCTTTCTTCCAACCTAATACTGCACCAGCAAGCATTACTCTTTGAGGCAGGCAGTGGTTGGGCCTACGTAACATATGTCCTAACCACCTTAGTCAGTGAAGATTTATAGACTCACCGACCAATTTGACATATTTGTCAAACATCAACAATGCTTCAATGCTCCCATGATCAAAAACCATCCTTTAAATTCATCTATAGTCAAATATTAATAATCTATGAGCATCCTCTATTTTTAAGAGGCCACATTTCATAGCCATAAAGCAACGCTTTCAAGACCTCATGGTCAAAAACCATTCGGCCTACTCACATCTACTTTCATAGACTGTCCTTCACAACAATAAAGTACGATAGGACGAGTTACTGTCCACTATACTTGTCCTTTAGTCGGTAGATGGACAATCCACATACACCACAAGTAACACAATTAACCAAAAGTCAACCGAACTTTCCGGGTTCGTAACGCCACATCACCAGACACAAACACATCACAGCTGACTAGACCACTTAGATAAATGAAGTGGTCAATGCACTAAACTACTTCACATCCTATCATTAGTTTAGGTGTTAGTTTAGACCAGTCCTAAAGCAACATTTTGTATTTAAGAGACAAAACACATTTTAAATGATCTTGCGTTATTGCTCAGAGTGATTAGAAGACCTAGCACTTTGTCAGTGTCTTCACCAAGCAGAACTATGTGATTCTTGTGTTCTAAGTCAAGTGAATCATATGGTAGGATGCTGAACTTCTGAAAAGGTGGTTGGAAATGTTATTACATCAAAGATCGCATTAATGGCTAAAGTAGGTGAGAATGGGGACAGTGGGTAGCCCTGGCGAACACCAGTTAGGTGTCGGGCTTCGAGTTTATAGGTACATTTAAAAGTTATTACACAGGGAAACCTAAATAATTTGAAGTTTGATAATACCACCTCGCATCACTACCGTCCAACAACCTGACTAACATACAACCTGAGTAACGCTTATAACCCAAATCAGCGCTCTTCAAATGCGAAGGCGCTCTGATGAGTCCAGCAAGTTTGCATGAGCAGACTTCGCTGAACCGAACTAACGACTGAGAATAAACTCCACTCTCATTCGTAATTTTGACGTCGCACCTGACAATCAATCAAAATGAAGTGGGTGTCATATTTGATTCTATAATGAACCATGAAGACGGGTGTGTTTTGTTCTGTTGTTTTTGCTGGCTTATCAATGTAACAGCAACGTTTGGTGTTTCAGCGTCTCGGTATATTGTAATTTACGTGACGACTAAAATTATAGCGGCCAATTTAGGTGTTTTGTCGGGCTAAGATATACTTCGTAAATCCTTATAAGTCATAAAGTTGTAGCTTTGTTTTTTTTCATTTCTGGATTTACATTCCTGTAGGTAAATGTCTTTAATCATACATACTTCTAGATGTAGTTCACTAGGTAGAAACGTCTGTCCCCTGATAAAGATAAAAGCAAATATAGGAGGCATTTTGGCCAAGGGCATATAATTTTTAATGTAATTAACTGTAGCACATGAGAGTATCAAGTCATTTCTCGTGAATATGAGGTTGGATTAGACAGAATATCGTTAAATCAGGCGGAAAGCAGACACTAACAGCCAATATTCATCATTAATTTCAAAATATTCCAATCTATGCTTAGACAAAGCGGAAAGGTCTCATAATTAACCCATGGCAGGCGACAAGAAAGACTTTTCGGCAAGTCTATCTCAATTTCTTCCTTATTTCTGTAGTGGGAAATAAAGCCCTAAAATAAGTAGTCTTGTAAGTCTTCGACATTTGATGCTGACCCCATTAGTTTTGATGGGCACATCCAGCTGAAGACACTTGGTCATGCATTCGCAACAGATCACGAGTGGGCATACCTTGCTACACATTTCTTACAACCGTTACCCAGCTTAGATTAAACGCTTCCCAGCATATCGATAGTTTTTCAAATACATCCACGAACCTCTTCATTTCTGAATTCTGGTTAGACTGTATTGGTTCGCTTCTTTTAGAAAAATATGACGTATAAAGGCGTTGCCAAACTCCCAATACTTGTAGCATCTTTATTTCCCTCAGAAATGTTCCCTTCAATTCATTCAGATTTGGATTGATTTCCCCTTCTTCCTTTGCTTCTTTTAAACCATAAGTGTCTTGTAAGACCAGTGAAGTGTCATTAGTCCCTAGTCAAATCCTTTGGCAATCAGATGACTGAACATCGAATTATTTGTCGACCCTCGTCAAGGTCAAGGATAATCAACCCCACTAATCAGTCGCATGCCATGGAATGGCCACTGCGTTGGTGGCCTCACTCTGTTCCTTGTACCTACTCTTACTAAAATATTTCCGTGATAACGTCATTTGTGTTTTATGGTCGTTATAATAGTCATAGCACCTGGATACCACGGGAGGGTAATCCCCGATAGGTACTAACTGTGAGGTGCGACTCCGACATTAACTGGTTGGTCACTCTATTTTCGCTTAACTCGAGTAGATCCAAATCATTCGACACAAATCATCTGCATTGGTTACCTACATTCGAAAATAAATAAGCCGTTTGCGTTAACACTACTCGTAGTATTTACCAAATGTTTACTTATATAAAAGCACGAAAAATGTAGTTGTTTAAGATGGAATTATCAGTTCCTCATGTTACGGATGTGTCAAGTGTAGCGTAGTCAGTCATGAAGGAAGAAGGATCACAACACTGCAAACGTCACACCTTCTATAATAGAAATTGTTCCGAAATATTTGCAACTAAGTGAATAGATAAAAGAAAACATGACCGTAAACACTGACTACGATAAGTTTAAATGACTTGTTAGTGTTCAGTTTATTTCCAGCCTTGTTTCGCCAATCCCTTCTTGAGTTCGAGGTTAATTTGAAAACTTTTCAGTTCCGGCTTGATTTTGTAAATACTAGGAAACTGAGTGGCCTGGATTAGTCCTGAGAATGGTGGTAACTCAGTTGATACAACTTTCTTTTGCATACGTTGGCAAATGAATTGACGAATCCCATTCATGGGAAGGTCGATATTTATCTGGTAAATAATCTTTTTGAGCCTGTGAAGTTTTCTCAAAACGAAAATGCCCCACATACACAAGGAGTTGCATTGATGCTGTCCAAACAAGCGCAAAATGCACTTATGGGATGGGAATCTCATGGACCAAGGATCATCAAAGTCTCCTTCAAAACAAAGAAAGAGGGCATTTCAATGAACGTCATCCAATGCTATGCGCCTACCAACGACTACAATGAAGACGCTAAAGATCAATTCTACAATAGGCTGCATTCAATCATCGAGAAGTGCCCAACAAAGGACCTGACCATTCTGATGGGAGATTTCAATGCCAAGGTTGGGACGGACAACACTGGATATGAAGACATCATGGGACGACACGGACTGGGAGAAAGGAACGAAAATGGTGAGAGATTTGCAAACCCATGTGCCTTCAATAAACTGGTCATAGACGGCACCATATTTCCACATAAAGGCATACACAAAGCCACATGGATTTCAATTGATCACACTACACAGAACCAAATCGACCATATTTGCACCAATAAAATGTTCAGGAGGACGATGAAGGACGCGAGAAACAAGAGAGGAGCTGATATAGCATCAGATCATCACTAACTGGTTGCCAAGATGAAACTGAAACTTAAGGACTAGACTGAAATAAAAGTGAGGCTGGATGTTCCGATTAATGACTCTCTGAAGTCAAATAAAAATTCTGGGGTCATAAATAAGAGAAGTTGTAGCTTTCCTGTCTTCCTATATTCGATATGTGAACGGTTTCACGTATTTCCAAGCTTTCTTTCTTCATTTAGTGAGTAAGTAGTAGTAATATTTTTATGAACTAGCTATTCTTTTTACTTGATGACTCGCTTATTACAAATTTCGAGTACTATGCGTCGACTTGTACTCATCTAGTTCTACTTGCTGTAAATTGCAATATTTCTGGAATTCTTAGTCAGTACAATAATTCGAATAATTCTAATTATTATAGTAATGCTTGCAGGAGTGATTTTTACTATTGGTTATATTCCAGGTTCTGATTCCCACTTTATTCGTTATTTTCATTCTACACATTGCGATTCTCTGCGGCGGCGTGTTTATAGAAGATAGCTTTATACGACTAAAATGATATCCATGGTTCAATTATCCTCTTTTATGCAGTCTCTGACTAAATAAACGGACAGTCGATTGAAAATGCCGGATATACTTATTTGATTGAACGTTAGAAAGATGGTTAACCTCACACTGTCGCCACGAATTTCTCAAACTTGGTGTATTCTCATCACTTAATTCCACGACTGGAGTATACATATACGGCCGAACTAGCTCCATGATAGCCAACAACTGTACTTCCGAGGCGACACCCTTGTTACCAGCTCCTGTGATTTAGAATCCTGTTTATCCGTCACTTGGCTATCAAAAGCCTAGTAATTCACTTGATTCTGATGGGTTAAGAGGATGACCATTGTAATCCTTAAGGACGTTATTCCAAAACAATTCATGGCACTGTTAAACAGTTTTCTTTCCCAAACTTCTGAGGGATTGATTGGACGCTAATTTAGACCCGTTTTAAGTGTTGCTGGATCCAGTGAAATATTCGGTAAACATCAAAGTTAGAGATCGACAACCTGGCTTTTGTAAGGACCGATCAAGAGCCAATCAAGGCATAACACTGCGGATTATAGCAGAACAATCTGTTGAATAGAAATTGTTGCGGGGACATTAAGATTCTACTCTTAATTCCGTGGACACTTCGACTTAATAACTGTTACGATGTTAACCCAACAACGACGTGGAATATTCGCTAGTGGAGACGAAATTTTTTTAAGAACGGTTTATTCGCAACATTCGGTTCAAACGACATGAACGGTATGCAACTTATGTATATCAGTAATATATACATATTTGGACCATTAATTATTAGTTTAGGAATCGACATCTTACTTACCTACGCCTGTTACTCCCAATGGAGCATAGGCCGCTGACCAGCATTCTCAAACCCATTCTGTCCTGGGCCTTCTTTTCTAGTTCCATCCAATTCTTGTTCATTCTTTCCATATCTATTTCCATTTCCCGGCGTAATGTGTTCTTTAGTCTTCCTCTTTTCATTTAGCCTTGAGGATTCCATGTGAGGGCTTGTCTTGTGACGCAATTGGGTGCTTTCTTCAATGTGTGTCCTATCCACTTCCAGCTCTTCCTGATCTCTTCCTCCGCTGGGATCTGGTTTGTTCTCTCCCACAGTACGTTGTTGCTAATAGTATCCGGCCGACGGATCCGAGGTATTTTGTGTAGACAATTGTTAATAAACACCTGTATCTCCTGGATGATGGCTTTCGTAGTTCTCTTGGTTCCTGCCTCATACAGTAGAACAATCTTGACATATGTATTGAAAATCCTGACTTTGGTGTTGGTTGACAGTTGCTTTGAGTTCCAGATGTTCTTCAGTTGTAAATATGCTGCTCTTGCTTTACCGATTCGCGCTTTCACATCTGCATCAGATCCACCCTGTTCATCAATGATGCTGCCCAAATACGTAAAGGCTTTTACATCTTCCAAATCTTCTCCGTCAATTGTGATTGGATTGGTGCATGCTGTGTTGTATCGGAGAATCCTGCTTTTCCCTTTGTGTATATTGAGACCTACTGCTGCTGAGGCTGCTGCCACACTGTTTGTCTTCTCCTGCATCTGTTGTTGCGTTTGGGATAGAAGGGCCAGATCATCTGCGAAGTCTAGATCATCCAACTGCATCTTAGATGTCCATTGTATCCCGTGCTTCCCTTCAGACGTTGACATCATGATCCAGTCGATCATCAGGAGAAAGAGAAAGGATGAGAGTAAGCAACCTTGCCTAACACCGGTCTTCACTTCGAACGACCTTGTCAGCGGTCCCCCATGCACGATTTTGCAGTGTAATCCATCATATGAATTCTGTATGATATTGACCATATTCTGAGGCACGC